TCATTTCTGAAATAACCTCTGGCATTCTCATCCGCCTCACAGTTCATCGGGTTTTGGATGGCATGACATGACTGCTTTCCATGACGAAAATCAGCTCGAGTCTTTCCGTGAAGGTTCGAATCATTGCATCTTTTTTCGCTTTCGATGATAACAACCACTGGTCATTGCGAAACTTATGAATGGTTGTGGTTTCCGTTCGATGACAACGCAATAAATAAAACTCGGTTGCACTACCACATTCATGCGCTATCACATGTGATGTTGTGAACGAAATTTCAAGTGAAAAACTTATTTGCTCAGCTCGTGAACACAGACCATGTCTATGCGGCCACCTGCGCGCTAAGCGATAGATTTCGACGACCGGAAACTATAGACTGTCATGAGCGAACATTCAAACTTGGTGTTATTAGGCTAACACTTAGGCTAATCTTTACGCTTCCACTAACGCATAACATTTGAACTGCACGCTATTCAGCACTGTGTGACACTATTTTAGACGATGTTTCGAGACTTTCCAGAATCCCCTGCATAGATCCGCGTCTAAAAATTCTTCTTGAAGTTATCTCACTGCTTCTTTTTTTTATTCTTTTTTATCAATCATCTCATTGAGCACTCACAATCAGGAATTTGGTATCCATATTCAATTGCTCACGATTTCAGAGAGCCCAATAACTGATAATCTCCTCTCCGATTAGAAATGAAAATTTTCATTTGAGATATCTTTTTCATTTCATTATAGACCAGATATCTTTTCACCTGATTGAAAACCTATTGTTTGAGAACGATTTTGTGGGACTATGCTAACGAGGTCGTGATATACGTGGTATATATTATGAGTACTCCCTTGGTTCTCGATTTGCACTGTCTGCACAATTGATATATTAGTGCAACGCTATGATTAGTCAATGTTTTCGAGATAATAACATATCGATGGTAATGATGGAGAGCATGGCATGTATATTCACCTTTATTCATTCACAGACAGAATTGTATTAGTACGATGAATCAGGGCTCGGTGATATATCTATATCAACTTCAATGACAATTTTGTCGTTCACTTACTGCAACAAGCATTCAATGTAATTGATTACACATCTGAATCGAACGTCTTCGGCAAAATACTCATTTGAACTCAGTTATTGTTGCATTGTATGCTATGATGATGATATTGTTCAGTTTTGCAGTCGTCAAGAGTGTGCAATAGAGCCGTATCATTAGTATCAGAGCAATGAATGATGTTCGAATTATCACAGAAACACAAGAGAATCAATCCTGAGTATCGTTCACAGTGTTCCATGAACTTGTTCGGCCATACGACTGCTCTTTCTTAATACCAAGACTTCAGGTATTACAATCTACCGAAATTCGTCTCACACACCTTCAGCCAGTCCATTGTTTGCTTAAATGTCGACATTATTGACGAAGTATTAACTCTTCAATGATTCTACACATTTCACCTTTCATGTATGTACAAAATCATTTGTCTGATAAATCGAACTTAGATCCACCGTTTGATCTCCTTTCAAAGCCGTCATCGTCGTAATGAGTTCAACTTCAGAAGGATATCCGACAGGAACGGGGAAAATCTCATTCAGTATTACAAACATGCATCATACTCTTGCATGGATATAGTTGAACTAGACAGCGGGAAAAGAACACGAACAAACAGTCGGCAATAGCAACAGAACGGTGATAACGTTTTTTCGGACTGTTTGAGTTTATGATGATATGATTCTCGGATTCAATATGAATCGATTATTCTTTGACAGTACCAGCGAGGTTTCTCGAAAATGTTTGATTATTACAGTACAACTAATACCGATCACATAATCAATACATTACCTACAATAACAGAAACAATTCATAATACCCGTATTAAATAAGATTGATCAGATCATACAGAGAGTCTCAAGAAAACAACAACATTGATAACAGCAAAAAACGATTATGCACAAATAAATATGAGTAAATGCCTTCTCAGATAGCGTCATTGTTCTAAATTGTAACGGAAGCACTCAGTTACATCAATCCCGGAGAGTTCTGGAAACTGCTTAAATGAAAACCTATTGAATATTGATAAAACCTTTGCTTATTCCTAAATATTATCGTCGAACAATCCCCAGAATTAGGATATAAACCACATGAAGCTTTTTCATTC